ACAAAGGTCTTAAGTAGATCTTTTGTAGAGAGAGATTTCTCCATTTGTTCCCATGGGAGGAACAAGAAATCTGAGTGTGAAACTGCTCAGACTGGTATGAGTTTTCTGCAGCAAAAGTTGTGTGTAGTTTTTCCTTCAGATAGGTATCTTGAAGGGAGAATTCTCCCCTGGGAGGAACGAGAAATCTGAAGTCAAGTTGTCAGGACAAGGCCACATGTCTTCTGCAGCAAGGGTTGCAAGTAGCCTTCGAGCTGGGCTTGAAGGTAACGACTGCTGAAAAAGGAAAGTGGAAAAGAATCTGTAAAGGACTCTGTCAGCATTTTTATGGGTTCTGGGACTTCCTGTTGTACTGTGCTGATTACTTCCATTGCTGCTACTGCTGAATCATGCAAAGTAAGGAAGCCCCCACATGCCACAATAGCCAACAAATGAGATAGTTATAAATGAAAATATTTTGTCTGAAAATTCAGGTAATTTCTTCATGTTTTATTTTGCTTCAGTCCTTCATCTATCCTTTTTAGCTCGATCATTTTGTAACGCTCACTTTTCTCTTTGCCTCCCACATTGCCTAGTGATCTATAATTCTGGCTCATAGTGAATAATATTGAGTTCATTATGATTGGTTACCCAAATGTTACTGAAAGCTGATTATTCCATTTGCTAAGAAGCACAAAATATAACTTCTATAACATTTGCATAATATCTTTTTTTTTCTTTTTTTACATTAAGGTTCACCCAAGGACCACTCGAGGTAGAAGGTTATGATAAGGGGTAGTTTATATGGATAGGAGGGGGAAAATAACTGTTGAATCTAAACGAACAGGTTAAGTTTGTAGAGATTGGGGAAACATCCACTTGGGAGTCTGTTCAACAGTGCAGTGGTTCACAGTAAGAAGCTGTTTGAGTGGAATTTACTTTTTGCCAATGGAATATGGAGGGAATGGTTGTAAGCTTTTCAATTTATGATTAGTAAATATAGTTTTTATTTAATAATAGTATCATCTAAAAGGCTGAAATTTTACAGCTACTGGTTTGCTACTATGTAAGTGACATGGCGGGTCCTAGCCATGAAGGTCAGTGCTGAAGGTACCAAGCGACGTAGTTCATTTGAGCATTTTTCATGGTAGTAGTGATAGAGCAGTAAGAGATTCACCACATCCCACCTATGAGAGGTTGGAGTGTTGAAAATAATTCTTCTCCAACAAGGACTCAAAGAGACTTGCCATATCTCACCTATGAGAGCTTGGAGTGTTGAAAATAATACTTCTCCAACAAGGACTCAAAGAGACTCGCTATATCCCACCTATGAGAGCTTGGAGTGTTGAAAATAATACTTCTCCAACAAGGACTCAAAGAGACTCGCCATATCCCACCTATGAGAGCTTGGAGTGTTGAAAATAATACTTCTCCAACAAGGACTCAAAGAGATTCGCCATATCCCACCTATGAGAGAGAAGTTGGAGTGTGGAAATAATTCTTCTCCAACAAGGTCTCAGAGGCTTTTGAACTCTATCACGACTTGAAAGTGGCGTTTGGGCAGCTCCCACCCAAATATGGCAACAACTCCATTTTCAGCCTGATCTGGCTCTCATAAAGGTAGGAAATAATCAGGTACTTACTGGAGCAGTACCGGGAGCCGATCATTTTACCTGAATCTTTAACGATGGATTGTATATAAGAGTTACACTTGAGGTCAGGTGCGAGATAGTATATCCCCTATTATCTGTCTTCTGAAACAAAGCATTTCTTTTTCACTTCTTCTCTTGTTTCTGTTTCTTAATTAGCCAAATACCTTTCTCTAATAAAAGAGTATGTAGTTGTTGTGGGTGTGTATGCATGCCACAGTGGGAGACACTTTTCTCCATGTACAACCTACATCTTACTGTCACTGTGAAAAATAGGAAAGAGAAAATGCCTATTTAAGGGAAATCCACAGACATAGTTGTAGACATCTATGGCAAGTGATAGTTGGGTCAATAGCTGCCAGCACTCTGATATATTTGTGTTACTTTTAAAAAATTTTTCGAGTAGAGTGCAGCGTGTGTGTGACTTAGCTAGACGAAAATTAGTTAGAGATATATGTTTTCTAATAATTGTATAAATTTGGCTTTAATTTGTTATCCCTAATTAAGTGTAAATTGTGTTTTTCTGCTACATGGCCATCATCTGTTACTAACCTTTATAATTCATTAGAGGTTATTTTTAAGGACAAATTGTTAACTCCCTTAGTTCAGTGATTCTCCAACAGGAGGCACTTGACTCACAGGGGAGAAATTGAGGAGAAAAGTCAGTTATATTGAAAAGCTACAAGTATAATCCAAAGAAGAATCAGCAATATCATTGGTCCTGACCTGGCATCTTAACTTCACTCATTTTCTCACAACTGCAACATAGCTTCCCTGTGCCTTTTTTATAAATACTTTCATGTTAATTATTTGGATGAACTCTTCACTGTGGTACCTAGACTTTATAAATTTAAGCACAGTTCTAGATTGATCACAAAGTCTTGTCAATTTACAGTGGAATTGGCTAGATATAACCGTAAGTTCTATGCTAACAGTTTCTTTTCTCACCCCCTTTTTGCTTGTGTTAACTTTCTTGCAACTCCATGCTTTCCAGTTAATTTTGATCTTCAAAAATTTAAATGGAATGTCAATCTTTATCTACTGTCTTCTTGATAACTCTTCTATTTCTCTCACTCTTTAATAATGTTTCTCTTTTTTCTTATTTCTTCATACTCAGTAACCTATTGTGCCTTAGTGGCTTTACTACCTTGCATGGGGTGATATGATTAAAAAAAATAATAATAGTATAAACAAAACTGCCTTCATTTAACGACCATAGAGAACTTTTTCTAACTGCTATCAGCATGGCTGACGTTAGAATCCTGGAGAGAAACAGACTGCACTTTCTTGGTCTCATGTTTTCCACCGACTTGAAGTGGAGTGATTATATCAAATCAAAAGCTGCATCTACTGCAAGGAAAGTTGGGTCACTGTATCATGCCAGAATTATTCTTGCACATTTACATCATCCGTGCATTGAATACTGCTGCCATATCTGGTCTGGTGCTGAAATTCCTGACAAAATCCAAAGAAGGATCTGTAATGTAATCGATCCTAACAAGGCATTTTGACTTTAGTCACTTTCTCACCAATATGACATGAGTTCCCTCTGTCTTTTCTACAAGTATTTTCATGGCAACTTCTCTGACAAGCTTTTTTTCCTGGTGCCCCAACTAGATGAATTTAAGCGTGCTACTAGATTGGCATTTAGGTCCCACCCTTTTACTGTTCAAACAGCTAAATGCAATCAACACTTTTACTCAGTTTCTTTTCTTGCACTTCCCACCTATGGAACACGCTTCTGTTTACTTGCTTCCATGATAATTACAATCTTCAAAAATTTAAATGCAATGTCAGTCATCCTCTTTTTAAATCATCTTTTCTCCTTTCCTCAATTCTCTCTATTCCCAGTCTTCTCTTTCACTTCTGCTCCTTACAGTCTACCGCATACTAGTTTAACAGATAAAAAAAGGGGAAGAATTGAAGAAAACTTATCATAAGAGAAGGATTGCGACCTGGAACTTCAGCAACCTTTGCTTTAGTTTTAACTTTATTCCAAATAAACAATAAATGTCACCTTAAATTAAACTATTTTTAACAAAAATAATCTAAAAATATAACTAAAAATGTTTATTTTACTTTTTCAAAATGAAAGATTTCAACTGGTATTTAATCTGACACATCCTTTTTACCATATATTTTGACTATTTTGCATAAAGTCTGTATTTTTAAATGAAAACATTTTCCAAGATATTCCAGTGAAATTTTATGCCCCATATCTTAAAATGAAAACAAATATTTTCCAACATATTCCAGTGAAATTTTATACCTTATATTTTTAAATGAAAATATAGACATTTTCCAAGATATTCCAGTGAAATTTTATGCCCCATATCTTAAAATGAAAACAGACATTTTCCAAGATATTCCAGTGAAATTTTATGCCCCATATTTTTAAATGAAAACAGACATTTTCCAAGATATTCCAGTGAAAATGCCCCCATATTAAAACAGACATTTTATATTTTTTAAATGAAAATGAAAACAGATATTTTCCAACATATTCCAGTGAAATTTTATGCCCCATATTTTTAAATGAAAACATATATTTTCCCAACATATTCCAGTGAAATTTTTTCTTTCTAAAATTATAGTTTAATAATTTTAACCTGTGAAAATTTTAACAGTTTTTCTATTTGAAATTTCTGATAATTCATAATTAATTAATGATTGACTATGCTCATGGCGAGTTCTATGACAATAAAATATCTATAGAAATTTCCCTATTGCACTGTTAAATATTTGATCTTAACACAATATTGCAATAACAATCATAAATATGAATTCTTGTCATTATTTTAAGAAGTAAGGGGATACAAATGAAAAGATTTGAAATTGAAAACTTTTTCAATTTCATTGAAACAGCAGTTAAACACTTCTATCTTCTCTTCTTTCTTTCACTTTTCTCACTGATATAGCATCTTTGATATGTCTTTTATCTTCTCATGATCAAAACAATAGTCCGTTATTTATGAGATATTGGCAGGGCATAATGGTCTTGCAAACTAACAAAGGAAAGGTCAATAGGATAATTATATTTTAGATATATCAGAGAGAAGGCATCAATTTAAACTAATGCCAGTAGGATACACTTTAAATTGTATGCCTATAATTTAAAAAATGTTTCACAATGTATTTACGAGTGCTGATCAAATAGTATCAGGACTGGTGCTATAAAATTAAAACTACAACATATATCAATTCAGCACTTAACCTCCTTTGAAGTAGTCCCCTTCTGAAGACACACTTTATCAACAGCATTTTCATTGAGGGAAACATTCCTGAAATTTCTATTTTGAAATAGCAAGCAGCTGTCTCATCATATTCTCTTACTAATTCTGAGCCATTGTACATTACACCACCCACACATCCAAGCTTACAGCACCTCATATTCCTAAGCAGTCACCCATCTAGGTACTGACTAGGTTTGACATTGCTTAACTTCAGTGATTGTATGAGAACCAGTGTTTCAACGTAAAGTGGCCGTAAGCAGTGTTGGGCTTTCCATATTTATTTATAAAGAATTTTTATCTGACATATATATATATATATATATATTTTTTTTTTTTTTCAGTGGAGTGTTTGTAAGAGCTGGTAACAAACCTTATCATCCTGGATGTTTTAAATGTACGACATGTGGAATAGGATTGAAACAAAAAGGTAAGAAAAGATTTTCTAAACTTTGAAATCAACAATCTCCTATCTTCTCTAGAGTTTTACAATGATGTTAATCCTGTATAAAGCCTGTGAGCCACTTGAGGTAGAATTTTACATAGTAAGAGACACAGTTTATGTGGATATGTGGGGAGATAATCATTAAACCTAGACTTGAACAGGTTAAGAGTGTAGTAATTGGGAAAGCATCCTCTTGGGAGTCAGTTCTACAAAGCAGTGATTGATGGGGAGAAGCTGCTCAAGTTTCACCAATGGACTACACAGGGTATGAGGGTGGTTCACTCATGTGTGTGACATGGCGGGTTTTAGCTGTGAACTGGTCAAACTAAGGAATATAGTTCATCTGAACACTTTCTATGGAAAATAGGCAACTTTTCATCTGCAGGAAGAGGGTTGTAGGATGGAAAACAATTTATCACTCACACGGACGCACAGATGCTTTTGAAATGGAAAGTGAAGACTGTGTAGCTCCATTTTTGGTCTGATCTGGCTCTTGTAAATGTAGAGGATAGCAGGAGTTACTTGTTAGAGCAATACTGAGAACCAATAATAGATATTCACAAATGTTCGGAGTATACTCTTAGGTACAAGCTGCATTCCAAAAGTTTTGATGTTGTCTTTTATATTCGGAAAGTCAGAGTGAGCAAGGTCTGGACTGTAGGGAAGGTGAGGGAGAGTTTAGATCACCATCAACCATCTCCCTGCAATCACCAATGTGTCTTTCCTTCTGTTTGTCATTAAGCACCCCATGAACAAACTTTGCACAAATTTTGCACATATTCAGATCTTCATGAATAATTCTGTGTACAGTTGACATACCAACTCCAAAACTGTCAGTCTTTAGTGACACATGACGATGTTATATCCAAAAATTGCAAATTTTACTTGTCAGAGTGGTACTGAGAACTGACCATTTTCCCAGCATCTTTAGAGATTGATTGTATGTATGAGTTCCATTTGAGGTCTGGATTGTGTTTAAGTCTAAATTGGCAGACAAGGTACAGGGCCTCTCTGAGGTAACATCGTGATTGGTGAAAGTTCTGGGTCCAATCAGCAACTAGTTTGATTTTCAATGTATTGAATGTGACCAGCCAGTTTTTCCAGTACTGAGCTGATCTTATATCCAAAAATTGAAAATTTTACTTGGTAGAGCAGTATTGAGAACCAACCATTTTCCTAGCATCTTTAGAGATTGATTATATGTATGAGTTATAGAATAGGTATTTGAACTTCAATCTTTACATTTGATACGCCATGAGCAGATATGAATGTATGTGAGAGATTCATAGAAGATTGAAGTTCAAATACAGTAAGTTCGACCTTGCTAACCGAACGCTCCACTGTGGCCAAATCAGTTAAAGGCACATCAAGCAAAATGACAGTTCTGTATAGGATACAGGTTCAAATCCTGTCAGAGGATGAATATTTTCTGTGAAAATTTCTCAGACATTCAGGCCGGTAAATGTTGTTTATTATAAACAGAGCATTTACTTAAATATTTGTATCTATAAAAAGAATGTATAAACATAAAAATGTCTTAAAATAATTGTCGGACTTTGTCCATTTCATAATATATATGTATATATATTGTTTATATGTTATTTTTATATATAAATATTTAAGTAAATGCTCTGTTTATAATAAACAGTATTAATAACATTTACCAGCCTGAATATCTGAGAAATTTCATAGAAAATATATGTCCCATGACAGGAATCAAACCTGTATCTTATATTCGAGAAAAATCATGGGAAATTTGTAGTTTAGAAGCAATAATTTGACCTTTCTAACCAGATACTACCTCTGTAGCTAAATGGTATATCATGTCAGGTAAAATGACGATTATGTCTATATATATATATATATATATATATATATAGGATAATGAACAAATAGGAAATGTTTATAAATGTAACATCTTGCTTTTATTAAAGCTTCATCAGAGAATAAGATATGGGAAAAATTGTTTTCTGGTATTTTATTTTTTGTGTTGTCTGATTTTCATTGGTTAAGTAGATCTCACATGCATTTAACTAGTCAAGCAGTGTTCATGTGTATAATTTATGTGTGTAAGTGTATCATAATGCTAGTTTGTACGTGAGAAATTGTAGCTGTCTCTTCCTGATGTTAAGCATAAGTAATCTTATTGCTTCCATTTTCTCTACAACTTGCTCGTTGCTCACATGTTCAGTCCTTGGTATTCTCAGCATTCTTTTGTAGAACCACAATTCTAGCACTTACTGTCATGTAGGAGGACTTATACTACATAACAGTTCAGTACTGTTTTTCCTATTTCTTAATACTTTGTTTAGCTTTTGGAAAGCATCTTTTGCTATCCTAATGCACCTTCAGATTTCAGTGTCACACTTTTCGTCCTTTGTTAAAACACTTCCCAGATATTTAAATTTTCCTGTTTCTTAATACTTTGCTTAGCTTTTGGAAGGCATCTTTCGCTATCCCAATACGCCTTCGGATTTCAGTGTCACACTTTCCGTCCTCTGATAATATTCCATTAGGTTTGATGATGTTTTTTTCCGATTTGTTGGTCATTTTCTAAATGCTCTGATGATCTAACTCAAAGACCTTCGTACCCACCAAAAAATCAGATATGAAAAACAATATGGTGAGTCTAGATGTCAAGTCCCTTGTGGGTTACCCCACTTGGCTTGAAGTCTATAAAAAGACAATCATATTCTCTTTCTCTTTTTTAATTTTTGCTTTTAGATGTAGTCACACATGGTTAAAATGTCCCCCACTGGGACATGTTCATTTTCATTGTTCTCTCTTAAATGAAGTCTCACCCACATGCACATACACACACATGTCTATCACACGCAAGCATATAGCTACTTTCAGTGTCTGTTCCTTTCATTTTCAATCGTGTACACATGTTATTCCTTTTTTTAATAATATGCATTGTCATTTGTTTTATATTCATCTTTTTATGTTCTTTATTTTTACCCAGACTCACATGAGTCCACCAATATTGTTTGTGGGATTAGTGTTTCAGGAGCCCATTAATATTTAATATAAAATGTCTATACAGATCACAACCAAAGACAAGTTACCCGCAACATAATAGTGACTTATTTTTATCCAAACAACATAAAATCATGCAACAAGACTTCCGGTGATGCATATGGTCATAACCTCCCTCAGTTTGGTTGTACACCTCCAGATTCAGTCACAATTAGGTTTTATGAAAATGGAGTTCCACACCCATGCTTACTGTGCCCGGCTCTAAAGCAAGACCCTATCTAAGTACTGAACAAGCTAGACATTGATTAACTTCAGTGTTCAAAGGAGAACCGATGCTTTCAGTGGAGTTTGACTTTAAGCACATGACTTGTTAATTTTAACATTCAATTATTTTCTTAATATTTTCTTTACATCATCATCAACAAAGATTTTTTTTTAATTTTTTGCCTGACTATTGGAAGCTTTCTACAATAAATGTGTACATCAATTCTAAAGCATTATCATTGTTTGAGTCTTTGGGATTGAGTTATTCTTCAAGATTCTATAGACTGTGTGTTACCCAACTTGTCTCAGCCGAAAGCATTCATTAGGGGGCACTCTTAAAGTCTATAGAAAGCCAATTCATATTCTCTCTCTTCCTCTTTTTAACTTTTGCTTTTAGATGTAGTCACGTGTGTGTACAGTGTCCCCCACATGGGCCACATTCATTTTCATAGTTCTCTCTTAACTAAACTCTCACACTCATGCACATTTATACATGTGTCTATCACAGACATGTACATTCTAATAGCTAGTTTCAATGTCTTTTCCTTTCATTTCAGTTCTATACATATTAGGGTTATGACTTTTTGTAAAATAATTGATTTCCTATAATTCAATGAACTTTTGTTAAAAAATAATGAAGAAGGGTTTAATTCAATTTATTTTTTTTAAAATGTCCCTCGCCAACACAAAGTTTCTAAAATCATATTTTAAAAGTATTGTAGTACTATAACTTTCTGATGCCTTAAAGAACTTCTTAGAACTTTCTAGAACTTCCTGGGCCTTCTAGAAATTTATGGAAACTTGCTTTTGTTTATTTATAAGGTTGTATGTTATGCTATAACTATAAACTGTTAAATGCCTTACAAAATACAAACGTACACTCCAATTACATAATTAGCAAATTGAAAAATAAGGCTTTTGAAATATTTTGATTTTTTTTAACCTTATTACATGTATAGTAAAATTGAATTTTCGGTTTAGAGGTGAACTTTCTCAAGAACTAAAACAAATTAATGTTTTTCATTACTTTTGAACAAAAGTTCATTGATTTATGACACAGGAACATAGGGTTACTAAAAAGTCATAACCCTAGTACACATACAAGTACTTTTATTTATCGCTACATACAATTGCCGTTTTTTTTAAAATTCATTGTTTTCTGTTGCTTGTTTTTACTCAGACTCACATGAGTCTACCAATATTGCTTACTAGAAAAATGTTTCAAAATCCCATAAATATTTATGAGAAAACGTCCACAAACTTGTAGCAATTGTGTAAAATCCCACAACAAAGAGGTAATTTATTTTTATCCAAACACAATAAATCCTGCAAAACACTATAAGTTATTAAAGAAAAAATATTATTTTTGTCTTTTCTTAATTTCACATTTCCTATTTACCACAATTCCCTATGTATAATACGCCTTCATCCATAATACACACACGTAAAATTGTGCTGAAAATGTGGGAAAATGCTTCTACTCATGCATAATATGGTAATCAAATCCTATAAATTGTACCTCTCCAATTTCATTATGGCCAGTGTTCCCTACTCTTATTTAAAAAAATG